TGACGTATCCCTACCGTACCCGTATCCATAAATTTTTAGTATTACTGTTTTCCGTCCCGGTGTCCGTCCCCGTACCGGTCTCAGTGCAACCTAGATCAAATCCCATTTTTTGTTTAGATGCTAATAAAAATCCAAGTCACTAAATAAATAAATCTTTGGCAAATTCACCCGTTTTATAAAAGTCTATCTTTACTTTATTTGTTGGTCAAAAATCTACTATGAGATAAGATTTCAACTTTTTTCCTAAGAACCATAAATGGTAAAATATCAAAAATAATTAAATAATTCCGAGTCAAAAATTTTCAAGGAATTAAATTGGTTATTTGGTTTATCGTATATCGTAAACGCCCGCTCACTCATTTCTCGTTTTCCCTCACTTCCTTCCTTCATTCTCTGTTTCCATCGACAAAAATGGAGAATTTGATCGATTTTGTTAACAGATTACAAATAGCATGTACTGCACTCGGCGATTACAGCGGTGGTAATAACTCTCTTTCTTCTCTCTGGGAAGCTCTTCCTTCCGTCGCCGTCGTCGGTGGTCAGGTTTTCGTAACTCCGACTTTGGTTTTTTTTTTCTTTTTCTCTCTCTCTGATTAGCTTTTGCCTCTTCTTAAGGATTGTTTTTGTTGTTTAAGTGTAGAGTTCTGGGAAATCGTCGGTTCTAGAGAGTATTGTTGGAAGAGATTTCCTTCCTAGAGGATCTGGTTTGTGAATCTTAAAGGGACCCTAACAATTTCGATTTTGATGATTGTAATTCTTAGTGAGATTTTTGTTTGTTTGCAAGGTATTGTTACGAGACGGCCTTTGGTATTACAGCTTCATAAGACTGAAAATGGAACTGAGGAATATGCTGAGTTTCTTCACCTTACCAATAAGAAGTTCACCGATTTCTGTATGTGTCCTGTATTGATGAATGTGTGTTATTGAATCTATCATATGAATTATGAAATCTGTTTTGGTTTTGTTGGTAGCTTTGGTTCGTAAGGAGATTCAAGATGAGACTGATAGAATCACTGGGAAGAACAAACAGATATCTCCAGTTCCTATTCATCTCAGTATCTTCTCTCCCAATGGTCTGTTTATTATATATATCGCGAAATTCGGAGAATTTCAGTTTTGTTTTTTCAGCCAATTTTTATCAACCTAACCTGAGTTTTGTTGTTGTTCTGTTTGATAACAGTTGTGAATCTTACTCTCATTGATTTACCTGGTTTGACTAAAGTTGCTGTTGGTATGTCTTTGTTTTGGCTCTCCTTTTGTTTATTGCTTGGTGGATGTAATTGCTTGTTAACATTGTCAATTTGTTTCCAGAAGGACAGCCAGAAACTATTGCTGAGGATATCGAATCCATGGTTCGCTCATACGTCGCAAAGGTGAGTATTGCTAGTGATGCTGTCAAATAAATTCATATGATCATGTAGTGTGATAGTTTTGAACTTTTGATTGTGCTTATAATAGTTTCAAATTAGCTACTTATGTTTTTGTTCACAGCCCAACTGTCTTATACTAGCAGTATCTCCTGCCAATCAAGATATAGCCACATCAGATGCGATCAAGCTCGCGAAAGAAGTGGATCCGGAAGGTTTTGCTTGTTCTGTTTTCAGCAAATGAATGTTGTTGGATTGGGCAGACAATCTTCTCATGATTTTCTGACTTTCTCATTGTCTTTAGGTGACAGAACGTTTGGAGTTCTGACAAAGTTAGACTTGATGGACAAGGGAACTAATGCATTGGATGTAAGAGTCTCATAAGTCTCGGTCTTTCTTCTTTCGTTATTTTCTTATCGAATTTTGGAACTAGTTATGTAAGAATATTCGATAAGGTTAAAACGCTTAGTGACTATGATTGATACCATATTAAAATGCTTGCCTGATTAAGGTTATCGAAGGAAGATCATACAGGCTGCAACATCCTTGGGTTGGGATAGTGAACCGTTCACAAGCAGATATTAACAAGAGTGTTGATATGATGGTTGCAAGAAGGAAAGAGCGAGAATACTTTGAAACCAGTCCTGACTATGGTCACTTAGCCGCTAAAATGGGTTCAGAATATCTCGCAAAGCTGCTCTCTAAGGTTACTCAATCAAAACCTTATTGTACTTATAAATGAGCATTCTGGTCG